GTTTTTGATGTTCAAGCAGAATATCAAGAGGGTGAAGGCAGCACTCTCAAAATGGAATAGGGAAACATTTGGTGATATCTTCAAGCAATTGGCTATTTTGGAGGACATTGTTAGGGTGAAGGAGATGTTGTTTGAAGAAGAGCCTACAACTGAGAATAGGATTGTGCTTCAAAAGGCTCAATCTGAATTGAAGAAATACTTGAATATTGAGGAGCAGTATTGGAAGCAAAAAACTGGGATGACTTGGTTTGCTGAAGGAAATAGGAATACAAGTTTCTTTCACAACCATGTCAATGTCAAAAGAAAGAAATTGCAATTGAAGAGGATCAAAAGTGGCAGTGGGGTATGGATTGAAGACGAGGAGCAATTGGCTACAACTGCAGTGGACTTCTATCAAAAACAGTTCACAAATGAAGATCACGCTTCTGAATTTCCCTTGCTTAATAATGTATCTTCAATGGTCACTATGGATCATAATTTGGAACTTAGCAGATTGCCAACAATTGAAGAAGTAAGGGCAGCAATTTTTGAGCTTAGTGGGGAGAGTGCTAGTGGCCCTGATGGATTCACTGGCTTGTTTTATCAAACATGCTGGGATGTTATTGGTGCTGATATACACAACATGGTGCTACACTTCTATGGAGGAGCTGTATTGCCTAAATCTATCACTCACACCAATCTAGTGTTACTGCCCAAGAAACCTAGAATTGAGACCTTCTCTCACTTAAGACCTATTAGTTTGAGCAACTTCATTAACAAGGTTTTGTCTAGGGTGTTACATGACAGATTGAAGATTTTTTTGCCATATCTAATAGCTCCTAATCAATCCGGATTTGTAAAGGGTATGAGTATATTTGAGAACATCTTATTGACTCAAGAAATTGTCACTGACATAAGGTTAAGGGGAAAGCCAGCTAATGTGGTGATCAAGCTTGATATGGCTAAGGCCTATGATAGGGTCTCATGGAAGTACTTATTGCATGTGCTAAGGAAGATGGGATTTTCTGAACACTTCATCAATATAGTGTGGAACTTGATATCAAATAATTTGATATCAAATAACTAGTATTCAGTATTGGTGAATGGGCAGTCCTCAGGGTTCTTTAAGTCGACAAGGGGTGTGAAACAAGGGGATCCCCTATCTCCAGCATTGTTCATTCTGTCAGCTGAGGTACTGGTTAGAATCCAGTTCTGAAAATTTTCACAGCTCCGTTATGTCATTTATGACTTGTGTGCAAAATTTGAGGTCAGTCGGACTTGATTTGATAGGTTTAGACATCGAATGTAGAAGTTAAAATT